AAATCCCAAATACTAGTAATTTGGGATTTTGGCATCCCAAATCCCAAATGATTTGGGATTTGGGCAACACGTATAACATATATCGAGTTCAGAATGTATTCAAGTTCTAATTGTCCTAACTCTAAAGGTAAAAACTACATCTATTTATACAAAATTATCATCTTGTTGTAAAACTATAATTACTAATCTCAAGAAAGTTCTGGAAATTTATGTAATATTCCAGGAGATTCTATAAGCTATTTTAGCTAATGAGTTATTTGTGCTAGAGGTATTTATCAGAGGTGATGACCAGAGGTGTTAACCAAAGGTGTAAAGCTCCTCATAGGCCTTAAGGCTTACGAGTCTAGTGAGCTGAGCTGATCCAAGTCAAGTCAAGCCTAATATTATAAGCTCATAGGCTTGCGAGCCAAGTCTAACTAAGGCCTGGCTCACAAGGCTCAAGCCTTAAAGTAGGCTCGCGAGCTTTAAAAATTTTGGGACTTTAAATAAAAGTCAACATAATTTTTTTTTAAAAAAAATTATCTGTTGCTATTAAATAGTAACGGAAAAATCAAATTAAAAAAGTGATCTGTCACTATTTAAAGTGACAGATCGCTAAAAAATATTAAAATTTCGTGACTTTATTTAAAAGCCATGAAATATTTTTTTTTTTAAAAATCCTGGGGCTTTTATTTAAAGCCTCTGAAATTAAAAAATTTAAAGAGCGACAATTACACTCCTTAAAAAAATTGAGTGATGATCGCGTTCTTTATTTTTTTTTAAATTAAATTCTAATAACTTATTAAATTAAGCTATCAGAATTTAATTTCCATAAATATCACTAATTTTCTCTTATATTTTCTCTCATATTTTCTTTTATATTTTCTCTTATATATTTTCTCTTATATTCTCTTTTATATTTTCTCTTATATTTTCTCTTATATTTAAATCTAAAAAATAAAAAATGTCTACCTTATCTAATAATGAAAATGTCTCTGATGATGAAATTCCTTTTGTTGAAATTCCTACTGATGAAATTCCTATTGTTGTAATTCCTAATATCCACCAAGATAGTGCAACTACATCTTCTACATCTGCAAAAAAAAAAACTTCTATATATTATAAATATTTTACTTTTGGAACTGATGAAAGGTGACATTGTAATTATTGCAGGTAAGGATTTCCTATATTATTTAAAAATAATATAATGAAATAGTAGA